CAACATCTTGTTGGTTCACAGTGGAAGGTCCATGGAGACATCATCGCTATTCCGAGCAGCTGCTGCATTGAGCTCTTCCATGACGGCAGAGAAGTCGAACAATGCTGTGTCACACAAGGTTAACAACATCGGCGAAAAAGTCGGCCACGTCATCTTATGTGGAGGACTCGTGGAAGCACACGTCCACACAGGGCGCGGATCCGATCCCGGCTTCTCGTCCTCGAATGATTGCTTGACACGTTATATCGCCTTTCTCACCGTGGCACACCTACACGTGTGCCACGCTGAGAAACAGCGACATAAAAAGCTCTTGATAGGTACCTCCTGATTTCCCCATTCATCGCTGGACTGGATGGATGGACGACGGCCCGCGGAAGATGACCGGGTAAGTATGTTTGGTAAGGGATTTAAAGGGAATGATGAAAGCTCTTAGTAGCTGAAGTTTGGAGGCAGCTACCAAGATTACTGGCTCAGGCCACCACATAAAGTTTACTGGGATCGGGATGGCAGGCATCGACAAGAAAGGGGAATAGACGTTATGGCCATTTGGATTCTAAAGGCTTCTTTCGCTTTTTCAAAAAAGTGTTTTCAAAAGAAATAAAGGAAAATTAACCCACTCGCGACCGCGCGGGATTTTCAAAGACTGCCCGTTCGGACCAGCGCCGGCAGAGGCGATTGCGCAATGTCAGCCACCGGTGGCTGACATTGTCCCAGGGGAAATCCATCTTGTTTTTTATAAGGTTCTCTATACACCTTTTGCTGTTTGCGCTTTTTTGAAGACTACGAGATTTCTGCTTTCTTATATGTTTTACCGTTGTCTGGAAGAATCGTCCTCAGAAAATTAGGTCCCGAAGAACTTTAATTTCAGCCCCGAGAAGTCAAACCTTTCATAGGGATGCATTCAACTGTTCTTTATTCCTCAAGGAAAACACCGTAATTTGCCTAAAACTGTCTCTCTGTGCATAATTAATCGAATCTAATGCGGTCTGCACAAACAATTCTTGCCCTCGGATACGCCACGCACGCGCCTGTGGCTGGCAGTCCTCGAAATTGCGACCCCCTTCCGACCAAAATGCGACCCCTTCGTTCGAACAGTTCGAACGGACGGTTGACCCTGTTTCCAAGCCGTCTTGCAGCTGCGTCCCTGCATTCGACCACCTCCCCTTTCGTTCATCGAACCCTCGTTGTTCTTTGCGCAACGGGTAGTTGATCCTGGGAGCAAGGCTGGATACGGCTCGCAGCATCAGCAAACAATATGGTTTCAAGGTCCCTAGCGATTTGTTTGCTTCTTTCATTACTGGGTGACCAAAATGCCTCATCTACTTTCTTCTTGTACCCATTGACCTACACCCAAGTAATCCCAACGCGGAGTATGCCTTTAATGTAATGTTCGATTCATAGCACTGATAATTCACTATCGATTATGAGTTTGGTGTTAAATAGACATGAATTCTTGCCCCGTTATGATTTTGTCTCCTAAACTTAGTTTATTTAGAGGTCAACTATCACAGGATTTGAACGTTGTAAAATACAAAGAGGCACCGAAAGTTTCTATTTCAAAAACATTCCAAAAGTTCACAAGGAACTCCGAATTTCCCAAAAGTTCCAAAGCAATCTAAGGAGTTCATTTGAAGTTTTTCGCGACATTTCGGTGTGTCACAAGGTTGCGGAGTGACGGGCAAAATGCTTTGCCCCAGAGGGACTCATACTCGCATCTTTCTTCCGGCGAGTGTGTTTCCACTTATACTGTTGGGGCACCATTTCACCTTAGCTCGGTTTTCGATGCTATATTTCCCATGGCTTATCAGGAAAGCTCTGGCAGATATTATTCTTGACTTGTGTTGATTGACAGCTACTGTTTTTGGCTCTATATGTGAAAGTTATGATGACATTCAAAATCACAACGAACTATCTGAAGGAGGAATGTTGAAGAGGTTCTCCATCAATTCATAAATGAAGAAAAACGGATACTAAAAAAACATACGTGGAATATGAGAGGCATGAGACCATAGAAGGTTGGTATTCGCAAGGTTGCCTTGGAGAAGAGTTTTTGCCACAATTTTGCTGGATTAGAAAATACCATCGAAGAATTTTTGGCCAGCGTTAATGCAACACTAACAGTGAGACCAATCGCGAAGTTGTAACCAAAGCTCTGAAGTAATTTTTTCTTGATAAAATTAATTTGATAATTATTGGATATTATTCATCTGTAGCCGTTCAAATATTGACTATAAGTTCCTGATACGATGGGTCAAACCCTATTGAAGTAAGCAGTACACCCATATTACAGGAAGAAACAAGTATTGTTCCTGTCCTGCAAAGTTCCCAATAAGGGTGGTAGCTTAATGCAAGCCGAAGCTACTAGTTTGGGGGTTAGGGCTCTAGCAGGCCAAATGTTTGAAGGGACGGGGAGTGGAGGTAAGTAAGCGGAAATGCGTCCAAGGTTCTTTAGACTACTCGGGTGTCATTGTCCAAAGTACTAGACTGTACTTAAAGCTAGCTGAGGAGACGGCCTGTTATAGAACGTTCATTACTTCAGAGGCAGCGATTACGATAGGTCTTGGAAGGGTTCGCAGGGGACGTGGGGGTGCTCAATGGCTCGCCAATGGCGAAAAAAAGCAGAGAAATCGTCAAGAAAACGCGAAAAAGGACCCTCCTTTTTGGCCGTTGGTTTTCGCTCATGGATGGGCAGCGGCTAAGAAGCGGACGTATGGACGAGTTTACCGCAACGCGTTTGGTGGCACCATGCTAGTCCATGCTCAAGGGTTTCTCTAGCTGCCACATCTCGTCCAAATCACCAACTGAACAGAGGGGCGATCGCTTTTGGGGCGGAGTGCTTTCGAAGTCCTGCTCAGCAACCAGCGCACCTTTCGTCGTGAAAGCGCCACACCTCGCTTCCTTGGCAGCCAAGTAACTGCTTCGTGTGGTGCATATGCTTCCCCGATGCGCTCCCTTGTTTATCGTTATCAGCTTCTTTTAAGCATTAGATACCAAATGTCAGGTCTTGGGTATTCTTCCTATCACGAGTAATGTAACAGCAAGATTTGTAAACAAGTCAAGCTTGATATTCGTACCTCAGTGACGTTACTGACACAAGAATGCTTATGGATGCAATGTTCTGTCTTGCTGTATTTCCTTCGAAGCTCACAAAGGAATCCTTTGAATTCTTTTGGCATAGGGTAGTCCTCGACAATATCCCTTTTTCCATCAAGGTCATGCGTAAAACTATAAAATTTCATCATTAGCAAGATCTCATTGATGACTGAAGCAGTCCAATAATCTGAAAATGAGCAAACTGGAAGTGAGTGAGAACCTCATTTCAGGGAAACAAGGCAAGAATTTTGCCACTTTCTCTTATATATTTAAGCGTTTTGCAATGTTATAAAAGAGCCATTGCGAGATAATGCTACCATCTTCTACTTCTCCAATACCTCAGACTTTCTAAGGGAACAAAGGGAAATCTGCCGATTGTAAAAGAAGGCTAAGGCCCTCAAGGAACGTGACGCGTTCTGAGAAAGGGGCGTCTGTGACAATGGTCAAACCCTTTTATCTGGACTCCTCGTATCTCTATCCCACTATTTCACCGGTTGGCTACCCCAGCAGCTGGTCCCTCGCCGTTGGACTCGAGCCCTCTCAGCGGTGGGGAGGGGGCAGAGCAATGCGTCACGCCAATCACTGCAGCTCTCTAAAGGAATCTTGCGCGGAAAATTCTTGCACTCTTTCCTAACATGAATATGTCAGTTGTGATCACTGGAAATAGCACACAAAGTTTCACGCATGAAGATTCGGTTTCTGAAGAGAAACAAACGTACAAAAACTACACGTTATGGACCATCGAAGGACCAGGAGGCAGAGCCAGGCGAGGCATGGAAAGAAGACGGCGTTTGGCCGGCTACGTACCAGGCGACGCAATGAGAGAATCGGGTTAAAGCGCGCGATTTCGGAGAGTGGAGACAAATCGATCGATGGAATAGGATGGAGTAGAAGTGTAAGATGTGAATGCAACGAAGCAGAAGGCCAGAAAGTTTCTAGTGAATGCACTCCAAGAACCAAGTTTGAGCATCCCCGTCGCCAGCATTCGTGAAAGACGTCCGTGGGCAATTCGAACGCGTAGCAGCCTTTTCGAGTTTTCGAATTTCTAATCAAAACGAAAGCAATACTTCAGTTCTTTTCACTATTATCGTGGATAATGAGTCTCAAGCCAGTGATTTATGGCTGAAATAGAATCATGATTTTTCCGCGCAAGATTCCTTTAATCTGGCTCTGTAACGAAGGCCATGGCCAAAAGAAGAAGCTCATCTCACGGATTCGGGCACTTTCCTTCAACTTTCCTGCACCGCGCGTCATTTATCATACAGCTTTTCCAATGGGTGGCCAATTAACCGTATCATTCGACTTCAAGGAGAATTTGAGCGGTATAATATAAACACACTAACAATGCAAAAAACGAACTTGAGTAACTTCTTTGTGCTTTCATCGAGTACTCCAGCATTATAGAGATAGGAAAACAGTCCAATACCGACCACGAATGGTATCACTTCCGCATTTTTTATTTTAGGGATATGTCCATGATTGGCAAGTTGCCGAAATAATGTTTCGGACGCCTAAAGATTTATCTGCAGATCTCTACAGATCAGCTATTGCTGGGGACATTTCAAGATAGAACTCAATGCATTTTAAAACTTTGCTTCAAACGTACTAAATTGGTCAAATATAGGGCCAACGCCGGCCAACGACTTCGCTTCTCAATGAGCAGTGAGAAGAAACTTCCAAACATGCTGCTCACCAGACCCATAGAGACCGGAGTAAAAAATCCCAATATGTGCCTAAAATAGTGTCGTAGGTGCCATAGTAGTATCAAGCACATTGAAACGAAAACCATGGAACATTGAAACGTGTGATGACAAATGGTACCGCCGATCGCACGCAGGGTACGGGTAAATCCCAGATCCGAGAAGTACCAGGATTTCATCTCAGGGGTCGTTCAAATGGTACCGGGTTGGTTCGAGAAGAGAAAGACGCTGACTGGTAAATTGGCTAGCCCTTGCAGATCATTGCATAAGCCAACACGCATTCAAGGGCCGCAAGTAGCCTGAATGGAGGTGGAATACGTTCCGTATCCCAAAAACCTACTAACCAGCGCCAAAATCGCTTTTTCCGCTGACCTGAAAGCACTGATTGGCGCTATTTCTGACTTGTTTTAATTGGTTAACTGCTGTTTTACGCCGCAGTTCGCGTTGCGAAAGTTTTCACAAGAATGCTGAGTTGTGGGCAAAACTTTCGCCCCAGCCGGGCTAAAACCTATTGTCAGCATTCTTCTGGTGAGTGCAGTACACTTCTGAGATGGGCCATGCATTCTGCTTCTATTCAGAATCGTAGTGAGACCTTGAGTGGAGCTATTAGACCTATTAGACCTATGCAGTGATTTGCGGAGAGCGACTCATCTTTTGCAGTCGGTATTTTACTTCTTAAATAAGTTGTGGTACTAGTCTACCGAAAGTGGAACGTTTGGTTGGTTCGGACGGCGTACGACCCAAAATTCGAACCCCAGGAAGAATAATGCGCATGATTAGAGCGCCACTTGCTAATGCATGACTTCTGTCCTCTGCTGTCCACACAGCGGAGTTGAATTTTATTCATCTTGGCACACTTCCAAACTCCCCCCCCCTCCTCCAAGAAAAACTCAAGAAGTGCGTCATTCGGGGCAGGGAAGGGTAAGCTTCTTAACGGGCAAAATTTTGCGATTTCTCTGAATTTCGCCAAAAAATTTTCCAACTTCCCAAAATCCCCTTCTATTCACTTCTGAAATATGCTCCCTCTGAGAAACACTGAATACAACCTCCCTTACTGAGAAAACCCCAACGGACGGTTGATGCTGTATCAGCGATGACCGACTGGTCCCAATGGCCGGAAGTGAGAGGGGATGCATGGGGGGGGGGGACACCTGCATCCGCCGTGCATCCTGCGCTGATCGCTCAGTACTATGTAGCATAATGCAATAGATGTAATGCCGTCATTGTATCAACTTACCTCAATCGGCATAGAAAGAATACAAATAGTAATAGATTAGCAGTGAGGAATATTGAAGAACGAATTACGTCGGTGAAGTAGCGCCTAAAGTCAATCTTGCGAATGTCTCCACGTTTCGCTACAAGCGAAGTCACCTACAAGTGAACAAAGCACAACATTTTTTTTAAATGCTCAAGTGGATTTATGAATTTAGTTAGAAGTGAACTTACCAAGTAGAATGGTGCGTAGGTTTTCAGACAAAACAGTATGCCATCGGGAATGGTGTCCTGAAGATGAGGAATATTCACATTCAGAATGACAATGCTTGGAAGAAATCTGCTTATTAGCCTACTTGTAGGTTTCGTTGAGCAGAGTTCAGTGCGGAGGTCATATTTGACTCGCTGGGAGCGGATCGCGCTGGCAGGGGTCGGTGCCATAACGAGCAGCCGTTGTAGTGCATGAGCCCCAGCGCAGAAAGTGTCCAGACACAAAGGCTCTTTGGATGGTTATTTTGCCCACTTATCAGTTCGGCGTCAACCCACTTAGGTTGTGGAAGATTACGCTACGTCATGCTGTTGTTGGTGCTGAGGTAGTTGGGGGAGGAGGACGGTCGTCGTTGCGATACACGGCATATTCACGCCCTCTGGTGCAAATCGAGGAATGCATGAGCTCGGGGGAATGTAGACAGTGCAGGGTAGGGGTGAGACGAGCTACCTATGCGTGAAAAGCTGGAATATACGAGTTCACACTGTTCCGCTGAAAGAACGCATAAATGCCGCGCGCCGCGGCGCCCTCCCCCCTCTGAGCTATCAGGACACCGTTGTTTCATGCGTGAATTTAGATTTTGGTTGATAGTGTTTGTTTTTGTTTGAGGCGTTGTTCCCTTGAACTCTTCAGATAAACTATTTATAAATTGCACGTGTAATCTCCATTTTTAAAATTTATTATGATAAGGTGAGAACGTCAGACTTTGAAGTTCAGCCAAAGAATTTGGTCGGGAACAGGGAGAGCTCAGCCGTGCTGAGACTGAGAGATGAGGCTGATCCCGGTGCCTATGGTTTTCTTCACCCACCCTTTGGAAGGTACTATGAGTCATCTTGGACAGACGTCGAATTCTGAGAAGACGGGTGACTTTTATGGCCGTCAACGAAAAAAGGGAGCACGGAGAGTAAGGATTATTTGAGAATATTTTCTGGACCGGTTTTTTACCCAGCACCCAAAAAAAACCGGAAAAGCATGATTTCTGTGGAAAATGTGGCTGTGCCCTTTTATCTGCCCTGCTCCGTGACTCCGATGTTTTTTTTACTCTTCCTTACTTATAGCCCTCTTTTTGAGGAATTCTACGATGAAAGGCAGCTCATTAATAATCATGTTGATGTGGTTATTAATGCAGTGAGGAAGAAAAACTAAGAAGAACGGTATGAGAACCCAGAAATGGGACCCTTTTTTCTCATTTATTTTCGCACTGGGCGAATCTCATCGTTGACGTCATCGACGTGAATGCTTTGCTCAGCGTCTCTGCTAAGCAGCCAGTATCCGCCGCTAGAGTCTGACGACAAGGGTTCGGCCAGCCGGAGCAAGGCTTTACCCGTGCCGCGAGCGCCGCGGGTAAAGCCTTGCTAGAGCGCTACGTGAAGCACCGTTCGCCAGGGAAAGCCTTCCGTTCCATATCCCTAGGAGGCCTGCCTTCTTTCTAGTAGCAATAATTTCGCTTCTTTGATCTCCAATTATCATGGAATCCTTACCCTAACTGCAAGCAAATAAATAAATAAAATATGCAAAGATAGCCCAAGATTCTCACTCACCAGAATCGCTTGATTACAATGTGGTGACCATGTGTGAATAGTTTCATAGCAATTGGTATTCACAATCGGCAATCCAATGGAGTGGGCAATTTTCGAGAGCACCGGCATGATGGATTATTGAGAAGGAACCCCTTTGTTGAAGCAAATTACCTGAATACGTTACGTGGCCATCAGCACATGTTATAATCAATTAAAATATTAAAAAAACGCGGAAGAATGGAATTCGTGGATGGGTGTAAGGAGCTCTCTGATAAGACTTCGATTGAGACTTTTATATTATGGTGTGCTCGAGCATCTGCGTTGAAGCGGTTAAGTCTGAAGTGGCAGTTGACAGGATATGCTTTGTTGTGTGGAGCGGTTGAGAGCCAGTCATGGAGATGTAAGGAGCACTGTTGAGGCGATGGGATTCCGGCGTTCCCTCGAATTCACGGGTTTGACTGGATTGGGGTAAGGGGCTCATAAATTAGGGGGAGGGTAGTATTACGCGCTAAAGTTTCTGCCACTTACAGGAATTGCACTTTTCGCTGTGAAGGAATCTCTAAGGAGCGCTACTCTTCCGTTTTCGCTTCTGCACCCTTCCCTGGCTTCCTTCCTTGCTAAAAACTGGAGAGTTTTATGCACTGTTGTTCTTCGTTTGCGGTCTGAGGGGGGAGGGGAGGGACATCACAACAAGGCATTCAAAAACCGCTGGTAGGTGATATTAGGCCTAAGCCCAGAGATGGGAAAAACGCCAGGGGAAACAGGTTGCTCACGTCTACCTAGAAAGTCCCTTCCTAACCCTGAGGCATAGTCCCAAGTTCTGTAACGTTCACTCCCCTGTCCCCCTAACGACATGAATGCCCTGGATTACTTTATGCGTAATGCTCGGTCACTCACCACTTCCCTCCCTTTATGAATGTGACCCTGAATAATATTATAATAATATTTTTCAGTTCAGTGAGTCAGGGCTAGCGCCTTTGTTCAATCCGCACCTTCATTGCCTGGTTTTATAATTTTTATTTATTTATCTTATGCTATTATTGCACATTTACATTATAAATACATTTATAAATACATTCAAAATACTTAGGACATCTCGGTTCAAGTGAGGGTAATAGACAAAACAAGGCACTGCCAATGTGGAACGCGTAGAAATTATTACTTGAATGACTAACAACATAGGGTACACAATTCACGAAGATCTCGAAAATAATATGGTTTGAATTTTTTAGAATTGGATATTTCTCATAAAAGTATCATATCTCCGCGCGTTCGAAGGGAATTCTGCAGAAAAAAACGACTGTGCTGGTAGTTATCTCTGCGCTGGTCGCTGTACTCTGATTGTGTGATAGCGTTATAGTGTTCCGACTAGTGGTCTGACACTTTCTGCAGTCAATCGGGAAAACCTGCCACGCGATCGGCCCAAAATCAGAGGTCACCCAAACAGTCGAGAAATTTGCTATTGTGGATTTTTGCTCGATTACTAGCCAACTAAGTTTTTTTTTATTTAACGTTACATTAAGTTTAAGGCATTTTTAAAAACAAAATTTAATATTTTTGAGCTCTACTTATTTCTGAAAATATGATATTTATTCAAAAATTTCTGTGTTCATCTTGCATAATTGGACGAAAATGCATATGAGCACTACTCCCTGGATCAAGTATATTTACAATATAATTAGAAGTTCAGTATAGGAAATTTAAGAGCCACAATTTATTAATTTTTTACACCGCAGTGTATCTTGTCCAACGCCGAAGTGAAATTGTGAAAATAAAAAATGTAAAACAAAAACATGAATGCAATCTTACAGAAATGATAATGCAAAAATGCAACGAGTATCTGAGCCGAAGTTCAATCAACATTGAAAACTCGATTTAATTGTTCTCCAAAAGCAGTACAAGATGCATCCAATAACTTGGAACTTTTTACGATGAAAGGAAGCGATGAAATAAGGACGATCCAGTGAAAACCAGATCAATAGCGTACGAATTATGGAAACCCTCCCCAAACGGATCGCCAGCGATGCGAACCGAATTGGCCATCTGATCAGTCGGATTCAGTGAAAGAAGTGGGTAGCTGCGTAGATCATTCTCTACTAAGTTTTCTCTGAACATTAGCTGAAGTTATATAACAACAGTACAAGTTATGTCTCAGCACAAACTGTGGCCAAAACGGCCATTGACAAAGAAAGAGATTATTACGATTAATAAAAATTAATATGATTGAAGGATAAGAAGCGATGTTACTCCCAATTAGTCAAAGTACGGCGACGTCAAGTCTCTTCATAGTATACTTATAGAGGGACGAGCGCTCTCATCAAAGCGAAATTCTCGCTCAGAAATATATCGCACTATTTTATCTAATTTCGTTATTTTGCTTGCAAAGAAATTGCATAATAGAACAAGGCTCACGTCTCAGAGAGAGAGAGCACGCAATTCGAGTCAAGGCAGCCAACGATCTGATGACTTCGTCACAGATGTGATTGCCACCTTTCAAGAGATTTTGCCGGACACTTAAACCTCCTCCATCCTTTTCCTTTCCAACATTTTGATTTTTAGCCTTATGAGTTTGTCGCTAATGTTAAACCGTATCCATCAGAGCAAAAGGATTCCAACACTTGAATGGCCGAAACGGGGACGGCTTGTGACAAAAGAAGTAGGGCAATCTGTTCTGTCT